AGTCACGAGTCAAAACGTAGGAGCAGAAACAGCAATCATCCACGGAGATGAAGGGGAGCGAGAGCAATGAGCTGAGGGTGGGGAGATGCCAGTGTTTCAGGTTCAAAGTGCAGGCAAAGAATAGGAGCCGGAGCGGGGCTAGTGAGGGACATGCGGAAGAGACACAGTCTCAGAGCCAGAGGGGTGTCATTAGGGGTATGGGCCACCTCCTTCCAGGGAGATGATGACTGAACAAAGTCCCTGAGTTTGGAACATAATCAACCAGCAGTGATTTCCAGGTCAAGAGGGTGGTGGGAACAGTGAGTGGAGCTGGAGGGGGATCTAGATGAAAACGGAGGAGGGACGGCAGCAGCAGTGGAAGGTGGCCCATTTCCTGACCTGTTGAGCTTCAGTGGGGGTCTTCTCATTGACAAACTGGATGCCTTGGGCTGTGAACACCCCAACTAGGTCTAAACATTTAGAACCCAGGAGAACATAGGTCTCTATAAACCCAGAGGAACGAAGGCACAGGTGGCTGTCTGGGGTAAGGGAACAGAAGCAATGGGCGGGTGAAGACCTGGCCCAGCGGAGGAGCATCATGAGACAGCCGCCTTCTTCCCCTGGGTACTGGGGCTCAGCTTGGATCCTGGGGCTCAACTTGGATCCTGGGAAGTATCAATGGATGGAGGATTGAAACCGTGGGCCAGTTACCGCAGGAGGCTATGCCTGACCCACTTCAATGGAAGTCATGAAACAGATTTAGGTCACTCTGCCGGGTAGCTGGTGAGTAAGGGCATAAACTCGAGGACTTTGGTGGCCCAGGTCCATGTCTGCCCCAGGTGAGTTCTATGGACAACCAGTGGCCGGGGCTGCTGGCTGTGCCTGTGGACACTGGGGGTGGATAGGGGGCCGGCAGAGGGAGACTTCACTTTACCCACCCTAATTGCCTCTCAGGAGAGGGAGGCAGAGAGAGAGAGGTTGACTAATACTGACCTGCACTATCCCTTAGGGAGACTACATAACGAGGGAGAACAGCAAAGCTAATGGTCTGGCAGGCAACTGGGAAGGGGCGGGGGGTTACGTGGGTTTTCCTCCAGCTGCTCATTGAAACATGTATCCCCGGGCCCACTGTCAGACACACTGAACCAGAACTTCCTGAGTGGAGCTGTCCCTGTTAGCGAAGCTTTTGGGCTGTTTGTATGTTTATTAAAGTGAAGGGGGAAACCTGGCCCATGCTTAGTTTGGAAACCTCTCAGGACATGACCCCTTGCAAGCTGCACCGTACTGAGGGCTTCACAGACTAAAGGCAGGCGACTTCTCCACTGGGCACCTTAGCAGGGCCCTTCTGGAGACAGAGCTTGGGCCACAGGGACAGACGCGGACGCAAGGAATTGGGGCAAAGACGAGGGTAGGTGGAGGTGCAGGTGGAGGGAGCACAGGTCTGGATTACAAAGGAGTAGGTGGTTGTTGTTTTTGTTTTTTAATATTTTTATTCACTTCAGAGAGGAAGGGAGAGAGAGAGAGAGAGAACCATTAATGGTGAGAGAGAATCATTAATTGGTTGCCTCCTACATGCCCCACATTGGGGATCAGGTCCACAACTCGGGCATATGCCCTGACTGGGAATTGAACCATGACCTCCTGGTTCATAGGCTGATGCTCAGCCACCGAGCTACGCTGGACGGGCACAAAGGAGCAGGTTTGCTGCTTGTTGTATTTCTCTGCAGGGCCACCCAAAGCTTTGTGAAGGGGGACTATGAAGAGAGGAATAGAAAAAGACAGATCTGCTGTCCGGTCCCAGCCTGGCCCCCTACCCAGCTGTGTGATTTAGGCACTTCGCTTTTGCAAGATGGGTGTTTCCTTACCTGAAAAAAGGAAGCTGGACTAAATCAGGGATGGGCCACCTCGACGGAACATCATACACATCTGAGAGTTTGACAAAGTAGCTTGGCTGGGACCCTAATTCAGACCCATAAGGTCAGAATCTCTGGGCCTGGGATCTGGCCCTGCTCTTTAATCCTCAGACACAGAAAGATGGTGCTTTGGAGCTGGAATCTCTGAGCCCCACCAGCTACAAGGCCAGGAGGAAGAGCTTGGTTTCTTTCCACCATCACTTACTTCCCTGTTCCACGTTGTTCGAGGAGAACTCTCTGTCTAAAAATGTTTGTGTAACTACTGATACTTCAGCAACACTTGAAGTGACAAATGAATTGAGTTTTGCATCAGGGGCGGGCTGAAGTGACAGGAACAAGAAGTGGTCTCTCCATTGCATTCTCTCTACCACTTAGTGCCAGATCAGTAGGTGCCAGGAATGGCTGTCTCTGTCATTTGGGGATTATTAGCAGATTATGGTTGGAACATTTCTCAGGCATTTCCTGGGGACTTAGGTGACAGAAGAAGTGGGATCTCCATGTCCACTAAGTGCTGGACATCCTTGCCTATCACCACATCTAAACCAAGCCCACAGTGCAATCTGCTCCACTGGGAGTTTCTGGCAAAGGTTCCGGTTCCTATAGAGAGAGATGTAACTTTAATGTAAAAGCTTTAAAGAACCACCTGAAAAGAAATTTTAAAAAACATGTCAAGTTTTATTAAGAATATCTCCACCACTCAGAAGCAGAGAGGAATGAAGGCTGCAGGCATGAGGACACAGCCCAGGCCCAATATTTGTTTTATTTATTACTAGAGACCTGATGCATGAAATTCGTGCAAGAGTAGGCCTTAACAGCCGCGGCAGCAGCCTGGATCCTGCCCTTGCAGCCACAGCGGCTTCCTCAATCCCACGGCTGCAGCCCCGGCATCGTCCGGAAGGTTGTTCGGTCTAATTAGCACATTACCCTTTTATTATTGTAGATTACTTATTTATTTTTATTATTAATGTTTACATTTAAATAACCATTGAACAACAGCTATTCTTGTTTTCATCAGTCTCAATATACAAAATGGTCATGTATGACTCAAAGAAATTCAGCCCCATCACCAAGCTTCCTACCCAGATGAGACCCAGGCCAAGGCTGGCTATAGAAGGGTACAGAGAAAGGGCATTTTCTAAATCTCAAAAATGATAAACAGAATTTCAAAAGTATTATAAGGGGCACATAGAAATCAATTCATTAAAAAAAAAAGGTAAGATTCCAGTTGAAAAATGGGCAAAAGGCATATATATAACTTACATGCAAATAGCTTTTGTAAAAACATAGAAAACTCTGTAATCTCAGTAATGATAAAATATAGCTAAAATAACACCCCATTAAAATGAGATACTCTTCTTTCCCATGAAGTTAGCAAAAGATTTCTCGTTTTAACGACTAGACCAAACACCAGTGAGAGGGTGTCAGGCCAAGTGATGTCAGTTAGTACAGGCCTTCAGAAAAACAGTTTGGTGGCAGGATATCCAGCGCCTTCAAAAAAAGTCAATATCCTTAGACCCAGTAATTCCATTCCTGGGTGTCTATCCTAAAAAAATTATCTGCAGTTCAGGGGAGAAAAAAAGTTTTTAAAAAATTATGGAAACCATCTGAATGGTTGACAAGAGTGAAATGATGCAGTAAAGTATTTTATATTCTCACTAGAGGCCCAGTGCATGAAATTCGTGCATGGGGGAGGGATCCCTCAGCCTGGCCGGCATCCCTTCCAATCCAGGACCCCTGGAGGGATGTCCGACTGCCAGCAGTCAGACATCCCTCTCGCAATCCCGGACTGCTGGCTCTTAATTGCTCACCTGCCTGCCTGCCTGATTGCCCCTAACCACTCTCCCCTGCCAGCCTGATTGCCCCTAACCATGCTCCCCTGCCAGCCTGATCGCCCTTAACTACTCTCCCCTGCAGGCCTGATCACCCCCTAAATGCTCCCCTGCTGGCCTCATCACCCCTAACCACCTCTGCCTTGGCCTCCACCACTGTAGCTTTGTCTGGAATATCCAGTCTATCCAGTCTAATTAGCATATTACCCTTTTATTAGTATAGATAATGTATTATTCGGGTTTTTAAAATCCTATATAATAAAAGGCTAATATGCAAATCAACCAAACGGCTGAAATACCAGTTGCTATGACATGCAGGGGGAAGACACTCAATGCAGCAGCTGCCCCCTGGTGGTCAGTGCACTCCCACAGGGGGAGTGCTGCTCAGCTAGAAGCCGGGCTCATGGCTGAGGAGCGGGAGCCTCTCCCACCTCTGCGGCAGTGCTAAGGATGTCTGACTGAGACCTCCTGACTGCAAGAGGGCCCAGGCTGGGCTGAGAGAACCTCCCCCCCAGTGCACAAATTTTGTGCATTGGGCCTCTAGTAGGTTTATAAAGATCTGGAGACAAAGAGGGAACATGCTTACATTGTTAAGTTTAAAAAAAAAAGAAGTGTATAAGGATGACATCCACCATCAAATGGTTAGAAAAACCATTTGATAGGAAAAAAATCAAACCTCTAACACAAGTTATCTCTGAGTGGTGGGATCATAGGTGACTGCCTTTCCTCTTTCACCCTTTTCACCATTTCCATTACCCAAAAATATATACATAAGTTAAGAAGCATGGCCAAGTAGCTCAGTTGATTAGAGCATGATCTCATCCTGATACACCAAGGTTGAGGATTGGATCTCCAGTCAGGGCACATATAAGAATCAACCATTGAATGAATAAATAAGTGGAACAACAAATCAATGTCTCTCTCTCTCTCTCTCTCTCTCTCTCTCTCTCTCTCCTCCAAATCGATTTAAATATTTTTTAAAAAGGAAATGCACTTGGTCTTTTACACTAAGAACAAACTTTGTCCAATGACCCTGAATTTATCTGCTTCTCCCTGAATTTTTGCACATCTGCAGAGTCACCAAATATATTCAAGACTTAGAGAAAAGCACCTCAAAGTCAACCGAGGTGAGTGCCAAGAGAGGCCAAGGAGAAAAATAACAGGAGATCAATAGACAAAAGAATGAGAGAAACACTTGCTCGCAAAAAACAAACACACAAACAAAAACTCTCCTGGAGCTCTGCCAAGCAGTCCCATCCCCCTGGGCTCCGCAGGGACAACAGGGCGGAGCTGAGATAACCTTCACACAGTGCCTGGGAGGGTCAGCAGGCCCACTGAAGCTCCAGAATTTAGAACCCAGGACAGCATGGTGCGGCTGTGCCCTTGGTACGTCCTTGATCTTTCCCCCATGCTCTTTGTACATCTCCAGGGGGCTGAGCCATGCTCAGGTTTGTAGTCAATACACGAATAAAAGCAGAGCTGCCGACTCATGGGCACCTCACCGCTGGATATCTAGAAATCTAAGTCGTCGTGGCCAAAGCCATGGGCCCCGTCCATGGTGAGGTTGCCAAACCTAATTTCTGTCCCAGGGAAACTTTTAACTCTCGTCTCAGCTCCTAAGTCAGAGCCTTGGACTGCTCTGGGCTCTGGAGTCAGACCCTCATCTGTCCCTCGCTCTGGAGTACCAGAGCCCGAGGAGGGCCCTTCTCGTGCAGAAGTGGAGCTTTCCGGAGACACACCTGTGCCGTTTCTCTCAGAGCCCAGGACTCCCTTGGGCTCATCTCCAAACGTGCTCATGTCTCCATTTGAAGACCCCTCCTCAGAGCCCTTCTGGGAGAGCTGAGAGCAGTTTCCCAGAGATGATGTTCTGGATGAGGAGAGGCCTGTTTTCCGGCCTGACCTGTGGCCTGGGGTTTCTCCACCTGAGGCAGAGGGTGGTGTGGGCCCCCCATCTTGGTCTGGACTGCTATGTCCAGAAGCCTCACCTGACTGGCCCTGCCTGGGGCCAGCCTGTGGACTCCCTTCCTTCTCGCCTAGATTTCCTCTTCCCGACTCGGGCTGGCCCTCTCCTTCCACATCCCGGACCCCTCTGGTGTCATTCTGTCTTCCTGGACTTGGGTCAGCGCCTCCCCAGGCTTCGTTCTGCACACTGAGCTCCGCCCCGGAGCCCCCCTTTCTGATCACTCCCTGGTCACCTGCGCCCTGTTCCTCCCACCCCACTGCCTCCGAGGGGTGGCCTCCACAGGGGTCTGTGTTCCCTCCTCTCTTCTGAGTGGCCTCCTCCTCTTCTCCTCCTCCTGCACCTTCACCTCTGCCCACATCCTCATCCCCCTCCTGTGTCCCAGGGCCCCGGCCTAACCCCAGCTCCAGGCCTCCATCAGCTCCCTGGGCAGTCCCTGTCCCTGAGGGGTCTCTCTGAAGCACCTCCATACCTGTCTTCTCAGGGGCCATCCCTCCTATCTCCCCATTAGCACATCCTACTTTTTTCTTCTGCAGAATTAGCTGCAGGTCAAAGGCCTTTTTAATGGGTGCCCTGGCTATGACCATCATGTCCTTCGGGGACACGGGAGTCACTGTCTTCCTTACACAGGTTTCGCAGGGACAGAACTCCTCCCCGCCGGCCTCCCCACCCAGCCGGGTCCCCAGGGCTCCACTGAGGTTTGGCACATCGTCCAAGGAGAGGGAGGGGGTGCCTGGGGCCCGGGTCTGCGCAGAGAAGGCCAAGAGGTTGCGCAGGCCCTGGAGGCGACTCCTGCGCTGCTCTGTCTGCAGGGACGTCTCCCACCTGAGGGCTACCCTGGGAGGCCTCGGGGCCTTCCTCCCCGCCCGGCTCTGGATCTTTCGGAGCTCCTTTGCGGTGCTGCCTTGGAGCCGCTGGCTCACGTCCTGCTGCAGCTCAGCCACCATCAGGTCCAGCAGGTCGTTGTTCTGCAGGCTCCAGCGGGCTCGGAGCTCAGCCATGGCGCTGGCCAGGTGGGCCAAGAAGGCCTTCTCCATCTTCCTCAGCAGCCTGGACACCCAGAGGGGGTCAGGGTCCGGAGACACTCTGTGAGCCACAAAAGTGCCCTGCTCTGCAGCCCCCTGGGTGGACTTGGCCTGGGTTTGCTCAGGGTCTGAGTCAGTTGTTCTGGGCAACGTCTCCAAACCAGGCTCAGCATTGGGGCTGCTTTGACTCCCACTGGCCTTTGAGTCTCTCTCAGTGAGGCCGCCAAGGGTCTTCTCTCTCCTCCCTGCGGGGTGCAGTGCGGCGGAGGGAGGCTCTCCTGCTTCCTCTTCCCGCACGTTCTCATCTTCCCGGGCACCTGCCCCATCCTGAGAGCCAGCCCCTGTTGAGTCTTGTCCTGTGGTTCTTTCCTCTTCTGGAAATCCACGGACACCCTCTCCGTGCAGTTCTGCTCTTTCTTTTTCTTCTTGCGTTTTCTCTAACTGCACCACCTCTCCTTGCATCCTGTTTTCAACTACTTGGTCCAGGTCCCTGCCCCGCGCCTGCTCCCCGCAGCTTCCTCCTGCCTCGTCCCTCCTGGTGGCACCAGCCCACGCTTGGGAACTTGAAGAGGCCATGGAACCAATCGACTCATGATTTCCCGGTTCTTCTGGGTTCTCTGTGGTTCTGGAGTCAGGCCTCTGGTAGGGGATTTCCGAGGGCAGCTCTCCCCTTTCAGAGACCAGGGCACAGTCCACGGCACAGGGTCCACTGCCCTCCCCCGAACCTCCAGAACCGCTCCCGACATCCACGCCGGATGAGGACGTTGGCGTGAAGGCCTCAGTCACAGCGTGGGGCCTGAGGCCCGACAGAGCCTGGCTCCGGCCACACCCCCAGGGGCCCGAGTCTGGCTCGCGATTGATGTTGCATTTCTGGTGCATATACAGGTTCCATGGGAACCTGAGTAAGTTAGGCAGTTCTGACTATAAGATCTGTGGTAGTGGGTGCTGGACTGGTGGAACAGCCGAGGCCACACCCGGGCCACGAGGCCTGCAAGGTGCTCAAGAGCCCCTGGTACCGAGAGGAGTCTGTGCACCTCGCCTTGCCGGTGGAAGACCCATGGTCTTCATTGAAGAAGTGGAGCCTGGCGAGGCAGGTGATGAGGGCCCGGGCCGAGCGGCCGAGCCTCCTGCCCTCCGGGCCGGACACTTCGGGCAGGCTGCTGGGCCGGCCCTGCTTGGAGCCCATCAGCGCCTTCATGATCTGAATGGAGACAGAGACCCTGCGGGGAAGCACACACTGGCCCCCACCACAGTCCCCTGCGGCCCCTTCACCTGCTCCAGCCTCCTCGGGGGCCTCTGCAGCCCTGCTGGGAGGAGGACCCTCTCCTGGCTGGGGACCAGCGTCACCAGTCACCGGGAGGGCTCCCTCTGGGTCTGCCTTCTCGCTGGCGGCCCCTTCCAGGGACGGTCGTCTGGCCTGAATGGGCTGCTCCAGGCCTTCTGGGGGATGTGTGTCAGCAGGGTCCTCCGTGGGGCCTTCCAGGCCGTCCCCAGCCACCTCCATGCTGTCATCTACCATCTCATAGCTCAGGGGCACGGGCTCCTCCGGGATGTTGCTCAGCCATCCACGGACCACGGCTTCTGGCGAGGCCCGGGGCAGAGCACCCGGCGTCACGCGACCACTGTCCTCTTGTTCTTCCAGGCCTTCCCCTCCACCGGCGACCTGCGCCTGGAACCTTCTCCCAGGCTGGGGACCTGGGCTGGGGCTGCCCCTTCTCACTGCTCTGACTGCTGTCCCCCTGCCCCCTGACTGAGATCTGGGGGGACCTGGGCGCTGCACATCTAGTGGTTCCTCCCCTTCCTCGGCGGCCCCTGGCGCCCAGTGAGCACTGTGGTCTCTGTTGCTGCTGGACGAAGGGTGTTTCCTGACAGGGGGCCTTGCCCTGGGCGGAGTGGGACAGTATCCGCTGCACACCAAGCAGGGCTCAGAGAGGGGCCCCTGGCTGCCCTGAGGCTGGGGGACCAGCAAGGCCTGCGTCTCACCACCAGGGGCCCTGCAGGCCCGGGGTGTGCCCATCTGTGAGCCGCAGCCCCCTCGGTGGGCTCCTGGCTTGCCCCCCTCATACGGTCCAACTGCCAGGCTCAAGGGCCAGGAAGCCCTGGGGCCGCCCCCTGTCTTTCCTCCCAGGCCACCTCCTGGGGAGCTGAGAGGGTCGGATGTGGTGGAGAGTGAGTGTGACCTGAACTCGGTCTCGGCAGAGGGAGAGAATGGGGGGTAGAAATTGGAAGCACAGTCCGAACTGCTCACAGGAGTAACGGGGACACTGCTGACCTCTCGTGTGTCCTGGGAGTTAGGGGAGGCCAAGGAGGGTGGCCCTGGGTCCCGGGAGGCCGGGTTCCTGGCGCTAGAGGAGCTTCCAGAAAAGCGTGGTGCTGGGTGGGCTGGGCAGAGCCTGCCTGTGCTGGGGGGGCCCAGCATTGGCCTGAACACAAGTGAGTTGAGCGGGCAGTGGGTGTGCCTCCGGCTGTGGAGCTGCCTGGGGCGGCCTCCCTGGGCCCCTCGGCCAAGGCCAGAAATGCTGGGTGAGGACACGGCACTGGCTCTGCTCTCCTGCTCTCTTCTCCTGCCTGTGGCTGAGGCGCAGGTGGAGGCTGGGGAACAGCCTTCTGCAGTGTCCCCAGAGCCCTCACGGCTGGAAGCCAGGGGCAGTCTCCTCCCAGACCCACCCCTGGGCTGCGGGGGTCCAGTGTCCTGTTCACTCCCCTCCGCCCGGGGGTCCTCGTTCCTCAAAGACGAGGGATTCGCAGTAGAGGAACAGGGTCCTGCCCCGGGGGTGGCCTTCCATGGGGAAGTCACCAGCCTGGTCCGGCTGGCGTGGCCCTGGTGCCGCTCACCCCTTTCACTGGACTCCTCCTGAGCCCCGGCACTCGCTGAGGCGTCAGAAAAAGCACCTGCTGCGCCTTGGGCTCTGGGTTCCAGGCAGCGGTGGCCCCTGCTTCCCGGCCCTGCTCCCTCTGGACCCAGGCCCTCAGCAGCCTGGGGTGTGCCACCAGCTTCCCACCCTGATCCTCTCTGGGAGGCAGCCCCGGAGGCCAGGTGCAGTGCACAGCTGCCCATGCTGCCCTCTGGGGACCTGGAGCAGCAGGAGTTTGGCTCAGAGCCTTCGGGGGCTCTGTCACTGGAGGCAGGGCTGCTGCTGTCCTGGCTGCTTCTTTTCCTGCCGGCCACCCCTCGGCTCCAGGGGCCCCTGCAGGGGGAGTGCTGGGCCAGCCGGGACCTCCCCCAGGAGGCCGTCCCCTCTCTCTGGGCAGTGTACAGGGGGTTTGTCCAGATCTCATATCCAGACCCTGGCTGCCACTGGCTTTGCTCACAGGCTTCTGTGCATCCTGCCTCTCGGGTCCCCAGCCCCTCTGTTCCAGGCTCCGAGGAGCCCCCAGGGTGGCCCTCCCACACACAGTGGAGGGGGTCTGCCTCCCTGGGGACAGGGCCCGGCCCACTGGCCCTCCCGGCCCTCCGGGCCCACAGGAGCATGTCATTGCCAAGTAGGTGGAAGCGGACTTTCATCTCCACAGACAGGCTGCCATCCTCGTTCAAGTGCACCTTCTTCTCCATGCCATCACGGGCCACCAACGGACCCAGCTGGGCAGGCATGTCCTGAGGGTGCCCGTCGGGAGCAGGGCCCACCCTGGTGTGATGCGGGGACACCAGGGGGTCGCCGAGACCAGCCCCCTCCAACAGCAAGGAAGACCGCTGTGGCCTGCTTCCCGGCCTGGACCTCGAGTGGGTCATGCTTGGCTTGGCCTTGGGGCCCCAGCTCCCTGGCACACGATGCAGAGGAAGAGAAAGAGGAAAAGATAGTGAGCGGCTGGGGGAGCCTTAGGGCAGGAGCAAAAAGGCTGGACAGGAGCCTCTCACACCTAAACACCCTGCCGCCTCCAAACCACACAGCAGGGCAGAAACCATTCTAGAACAAATACCCAGTCGGCTGTTTGTGAACCTGCATAGCAAAATGAGTTGAACTTGAAGCCTGAATTCAGTCTCAACCCTGCCACTTCCTATTTGTGTAGCTTTTGGCAGAGCCTCTTTTCTGAGCTGTAAAATAGGAATAATGGTATCTATTTGGAAGTGTGTTTGGACAATGCAAGGCAATGCATATAAAAACTTCCTAAAAACAAACAAACAAAACTTCCTGCAGAATTACTAGCGCAAAGTGGGTTCTCAGTAGAGAGCAGGGGAAGCCGGCAGAGTAGCAGTGCCCAGCGCTAACTCCTAGCCCTGTTGACGCCCGCACACCCCCAGCAGTAAAATCAATAAGCTGCTGCATATGCACCTGATTGCAAACTGTAAAATGCTTTGCAATTATTAGTGGTGATTTATCATCCTGACACTCATCAAGCTTTGGAGTTGATAAATGATTGCAAGGAGGACCTGGACACACAATAGCAGGTCCTGATAGTCAAGCCAACACCCCCTCACCCCCCATAAAAAAGGAGGAGAAGGAGCTCCTGCAGACAGAAAGAAATGAACCTCGAGAAAGAATGCAGCCCTAGCGCTTTCTCATTTCATCTCCTGAGCTAACACATGACAAGAGGAAGGGGCTAGTGGAGGGTGGGCCTGTGGCCAGCAAAAGAGCAGACCACCAAGAGCGCATCTGAGCAGGAGGAGTTTTCATAAAACTGCTCTTTCATAAGCACCGAATGAGAAAGGGGGCTCCTCCAGAGAGGGGCCATGGCTAAGGGGTCTCTGTAGCTCCCGTGCCTGGCATGCGGCAATCACCGACACCATTGTTGTCATTTCTCAACAGCTTTGCACAAAGGATATTATTTGTTGACTTGCCAAAATTTGCCTATTGCCATTCTAATAACTTTGCTGAAACTCTTCTTCTATAATTGTTAATTGTGCTTTCAAAAGAATGTGTTGTTTTGTTTTTTTAAAAATAACAAAGCCTAAACTCTGGCACATACTAGGCCTTTGGATGGATATGGTGGGATGTTTAGAAGGATGGGTTGGATAGATGATTGATGGTATCGTTCATTTTAGTCCATTTGGCCCTCACTGTTGTCTAAGAAAGTCGTGGCCCTTAAAAGATGCAAATGCCACATACCTATAGCTCATGGCCTCCGTAATCTCATGCCCACCACAGTCCTTAATAAAGCTAATTTTAGATCCTGGAAACTTAGAGTAGAAGATCTCTTCCTAATTCTTAATCTCTAAATACCACACTTCCCTCTCTCATACCCCAGTCAAATGCTCAACCAGGTCTAGGTTGATGGTGATGTGATGAGGAAGAAGAAGTAAGAGAGACCCCAAACAACTGGCTGTCCAAGAATTGGTGCCAAAGGCAGGATCCCTAAATTATCTAGAAGGAATATCTGCCCAGCTCTCCCGATCCACCATCCAGTGCAAATCACACCGGGGAAACTCCAACACCCACTCACCATGTTTGTTCCTTGACGTCTGCCCCGATGAAGTTCCAGTCCCACTTCTTTTGGCAGCTTCCGGAGGTCTGAAGGGCTCATGGCCGGCACACACCAGCACCGAGGGGCTGCGCAGCAGAGCCTTCAGAGAACCCACCTGAAGAAGGAGAGTGTTGAGTCAGGAGGCCAGGTCTGCAGAACCTCCCTTCTGCTCGGGGAGACACAGGTAGAGAAAGAATCCCTCTCTCTGGCCCTTTGCTGATGTTGACCCATTTCACCCCAGATTTCAGATCCAAGGGAAGGATCTCCATTCATTTGCCATAACCAGTATGGGACTGAGGGCCTACCTCCTGATCTTCCTCTCCACCTACACCCTCCTGTAAGAGGCTGTGGATTAGAGGTTATGCTGGATGCTTCAGCTGGAAAAGACTTCATGAAGCTTTGGTCTGCTTCCCTGCCCACATTCATACCCCCCAGAATAGGCATTTTTTAAAGCAACCAGCTTCCATATGGACACCTGATTCACTATTCCACTTTTTCCCAGGCAGAGCCCTCTCTTGGGTTTGATCTATGTTTTCCAGTGTAATCTGAGCCCGTCGCCTCTGCTTCTGCCCCTCGTGGAGTGGAGAAGGGCAAGGCACTGCTCTCTGCACAGGGAGCCCTTCCATCCTAGTCTCCTCCAAGGAACGGTTCTCCAGGCTCCTGCCCAGATGCTCCTGTCATCCCCTTCCCGCCCAGCCACAGCCCCACCAGCTGGATGTCCTGGGCTGGGAGTTGAGTGGGCACATCAGTGCTGGGTTGCATTCCAGGAAACAGGTCCCTGCTTTTAGAAAAACCTCACCTGGCTCCCGAGGCCCCTGCATATCTGAGGGTTTGCACTATTTATAGCATTACATTGTAACGAGCAGTGTTGGGGAATTTAGTTCCATCTTCAAAGTGCTGAATCTGCTCTTTTTCATTCTCCCAAATTAGAAGGGTATGTTCATTAACAAGGAAATGGAAACAAAAGAGAGAACGCTTGCAGCTTCTCCCACAATGACATTCAGTGTGCTGTCCACCAGATCTCTCAACCCAGTTCATCAAAAGTTGGTCTCAAACTACCAGGTACTTTTCTCTTTTGGTTCAGATCTCTGGTCCACCGCACAAATGCAAATGTGGGTGACCCAACTCTACCAATGGTAGATGTAGCCATGCTTCTAGAAAATCAGACTTTTCTGAGGAAGAAAGCAGAATTCAAGGCAAAATGATGCTCCCTTTTTAGAAAGAGGTAGAGGTCTAGGCCTCATGAGGGGAAAAAAAATAATATTATTGAGAGTGTCCATCCAGTTGAGAGCCTGCAAACGAATAATCAAATAATCGTGACACAGCCTGTCCCGGGAGCAATGAAGTTGCTTTGTTTACAGAAACGCTAATAGCTCTGTAGTAAGTCTATACGGAAATATGCTAATTTTTCCTCCAATTAATTTATGTTGCACCTGCTCTCTCCCTCTCACAACTGTAGCCCATTGATGGTAGGGATCCAGTCCTATTTGTTTAACATCTGCGTGCAGCACATGCTAGAGCACTGCCAATGCACCACAATTCAGAAGTGTTCTTACAGCACAACTCTGAAATCATGAAGGCGAGCCCTATCATTCCCAGCCATACAGCTGTGAGCAAATGACTTAACCTCTGTGCCTCCATTTTCTCATCTCCACAGATGGGATAATATTGACTGCCTCGTGAGTCGGTGTGGTGGAGGCTATGCCCTAGATTCATCAATGTCTAACCCACTCTCTTTCTGGTGTGCATCCCAGTCCTGCAGGACTTAGAAAGCTCTTAAACACATTATCAGAGACGGTGGCAGCTCCGCAGCAATGGTCAGAGCCGGCGTTCCAGTGTCTCCGTGCGCCAAGGTGCACATGTGGCAGTTTCCAGACCTCAGCTTCAGAAGCCTGGATGCCACAGCCGAGATGCCAGCTTGAGCTCAGTGATCACAGCAGCTCCAGGCAGAGGTAGCAGCTCCCTGCAGAGTTTCAGAGCCATCTTGTAGCCCAGACTTCATCCCTCCAGATGTCTGAAGATTTGGAAGCCCCCTGATGCCTTGTATTAAACTGCTTTCTGCTTAAGGTACATCGAGTAGTTTCTGTTTCCTGCACTGAACTCCCACACAATAGATTGGGTAATAGGAGACTTGGAGAAGAAAGTCATGAAAGTGTGCAAGGCAGTGTCTGGGGCTCACTAAGTGCTCGCTAAATGATAGCTAATAATATGAATAACAATTGTCTGATTAACTGATGAATGTCTCCACCCTATCTACTTTTAATTAGCCGCAGGGCAACAGTCATATATATATGTGTGTGTATATATATATGTATATATATATATATATATATATATTCCCCATTTATTTCAGAGAGGAAGAGGGAGAGAGAGAGAGAGAAGAGAATCATCAATGATGAGAGAAAAATCTCAAGCGGCTACCTCCTGCACACCCCTCACTGGGGACTGAGCCCACAACCTGGGCATGTAATCGAACTAGTGACCTCCTGGTTCCTAGATGGACACTCAACCACTGAGCTACACCGGCCAGGCAACAGCCCCTCTTTTTAAGGATGACCGCCCCATCCCATCTAAGTATTTTGCTCTGAGGTCCAGAGAACTTTTTAAAGAAAACATCATGCCCGACAGCCTACCTTTTCCCCACTGGGCGTGTACACCTGCTTCACGGGGAAGTGCAGAAGGCCTGTGGCTCTGCTGAGAAAGGCCGACAGGCTCCTGGTGTCTCTGTGACTGAGGACCACTGTCTGCTGGAATCGAGGGTCTCCATTCTTAACCAACATTATCCTCCTTGGGGTTTTGGGATTTCTCTGGGAAGAGGATGTTCCTGGCCCCTCGCACTGGTCTTTGACATCCTGGGACTGCTGAGCAGAGGGACTTCTCTCCCATGGCCGGCCTGGCCCACTGGAGGCCTTGGGCGGCTTCCTATCAGAGCAGAGGTAGCAACCACCATCCTCCAGCTGCTCCAGGGCGCTGAGGCCATGCAGGCCTCGGGGCGTGGTGACGGAGCGCACCCCAAAGGAGAGGGGCACGCGCTGGGAGAGCTCATCCATCAGCGTGCCCAAGCTCTTGAAGGTGCGTTGATGCACAGCTAGGTGAACCCCGGAAAACCGAGGATCCCCTCGCTTGAGGAAAGTTATCTTCTTGGCTGGCGTGATCTGGGTGACAGAGGGGGTCCGGGCCACAGAAGGCAGGAGGCACTCGCGGTAGCTTGGGGCCTGGGCATCCCTTGGGGTGCTGTTCATGGCGTGGAACCCCAGGCAGCTGCAATCGATCAGAGGAAGAGAGTCAGAGAGTAGCCCAGAGATTCGTCATTTCCTCTCTCCTGTTCGAGACAAAGGTGCTTCCTGCCCACTCCAAATTTGTTCCACTCTGCTCTGTACCGGCAGGTTAATTCATTTTTTAAAAATATTTTTATTGATTTCAGAGAGAGAAGGAGTGGGATAGAGAGATAGAAACATCAATGATGAGAGAATCATTGATTGCCTGCCTCCTGCACATCCCCCACTGGAGACTGACCCCCGTAATCCAGACATGTGCCCTGACAGGGAATAGAACGGTGATCTCCTGCTTCATAGGTCAAAGGTCAACCACTTAGCCAAACCAGCAGGGCAAGTTAATCCATGTTGATGGAATAGAATGAAGGCCAAAGGTTTGGCATCGGATAGATGTGAGTTCAAATTATACAGCCCCCCCCCCCTTTACCCCATGTGACCCAGGAGGTGAATGACATGCTCTGTGTTTGGTGGACCTGCTTGTTCGATGCAGCCACATTAACTCTGTAGAATAGTTAGAATGAGTAAATGAGTTTATGCAGATAGAGCACTGGGAACAGAGCTAGCACCAATACATCTTGATTCCTTTCCTTCCTTTTGCTATTTCTCTTACTTGACTCTACCACCTGAACTCCTTTGACTACCTTAGGGTTTATCTCCTAAAGAGGTGGGTAAATAAGGAGAAGACTATAGAATACAGATGCAAGAACACAGGGCAAGCAGTCAGGAGGCCTGGGCACCTTGCCCACTCTCTCAGTGCCAAGTCTCATGTGTGGCCCTGGGGGATGCCTGGAGAGCTGGACTTTCATCCTTCAACTACCGGGTGAGAGGGTCCCAAACCCTTCAGGGACCAGAGTGTAGACAAAGAGACTTGTAACACAAAGAGGATGTCACCATTCGATGTTGTGTGCTTTCTCCATTATATGGTGATGTTTGCTTTTCTATGAAAAGAATGCCCTCCTTCCCATTCCTCCAAAGTCTTTGGAAGATGCCTGATGAACCCTGGGGTGAGTACCCCAGCCCACTGCATGGACACTGGGGGCTCAGGCCTTTCATGGTTAAGTCAAAACCATTTGTCCAACTACTCATTTCTATTCCCACTGTGTGGCGCTCACTGCCTCACCTGGAACTCCTACAGAAGCCTGACTCTTTCTCTCCAGGTCACCACACCATGCTCTGTCCTTTGTACCTGCAGGCCAAGTTGTCCTGAAACCCAGGTTTTACCTAGATATTTCCTGTGCTCCAAGCTCTTCAAGAGGTTTGCAGCGTCTGCAGAAAAGCTCAGACCCTTTATCCCACAATTCGAGGCCTCACAGGTCTGCTCCTTAAGCCTCTCAGCTCCTGCTCTTTCCTACAGGAAGTCCCCACTCCAATCCAACTGCCTGTCTCAGGCCACCCCACCCTTCTGCACCCTGCCTGGGCTCCCCTCCTTTGTGGAACTTTCCCCAGCTCCCAATTGTGGGGCAACTCCCATGTTCAGCATGGTTCCCCGGCATTTTCCACATCCTGGGCTGTATCCTTCCTGGCCATTTACCCCAAGGCCTGGGAGGCAAAACCAGTGCTCCCTGGGGCACCCAGCCCCAAACTTGGCACATAGCATGGACCCAGGAAATTAATACTGATTAATAAGGCAGGTGTTTCCCAGAGCCTCCTACAGAGCCCAGGCCTGCCAATAAGCTGATAGTTGAGTAATTATGATCTGGTGAGGAGTCGTCCCTGTTTCCATGTGGTTCAGACCATGCCGGACCCTCGCTAATGTGCCTGCCGCAGCCATGGTCCCTGCTTACAGTTCCTCCAGCGCCCACATCTCCCTTCCTTACCTGCCTCCCTCTTTACCCCATTCCTCTGAGGGGGAAGGATTCTTCTCTCATTTTCAAAACCTTGGTGCACAAAGAGGCCTTGTAATCCTCGCTCATCTCTGGCAGCAACTTTATAATTACCTTCTCCAGCCTTGTCCCTCCCCACTAATCCCTTTAAGCCGCTGTCTCAGACCTCCCGCTCACAGCCCTGCAGCTGCCTGTGCTGCTACTCCACGTGCCTTCCCGCAGGACTAACTGTTCTCCCCACTGGATTTTTATTTTTTACTCGTGACAGTGAGCATTCTTCTTGGCCCCCCTAGAGGGACAAAGAAGAAAAAGAAGGGACATTGGGGAATACAGGGATGCTGGTGGGGGACATGATAGTGTGGGGGCACAGTGACATTGGGGGACACAGTAACATTAGGGGACCATGTCCCCCATAATCACCATATTCCCCAGCATCATTGTGCCCTTCAGTGTCATCCCAGCAGAAGAGTGGAGTGAGGAGCAGTTTGGGAGGCAGGGGTGAGGGAGCGGTGGGAAGAGCCACTCTCTTCAGGAGCAGGCACACTGCAGGTGAGTGCATCCCCCTCGGAGTTGTTAGGGTGTGGTGAGCGCCCCAGGGAGGATGAAACAGCACAGACACTGCAAGGTCAGCTTTGGCCTCAGGTGCCTCAACAGCAGAACTCAAAGCCCTGGTCCCCTGCCATCTGCAAGGCTAATAACTGACAAAAGCAAACTCAGGAGGTCCCGACATTTGATCTAAGAACAGTTCACTAAAGGAGGAGGCTGATAACAGAGGATGGCAAAACAAAAGAGAAATAAAAGGCAAATGTCATTACAGGTCAAGCTGACAATTGCCCCAGTGTACCCAGGACTGCTCCAGTGTTAGCTCTGAAAAGCCCGCCAGCCAAGACCCCACTGCCCCCCACCTCCTGCCCCGACTGTCTGCATGCCCCAGGCAGTTCTTAGGATTGGGTGGCCTCTTTTGGGCACTGGCCCTGCAGGCAGGCTTTTGTTCAGCCACCCCCATGACTGAGCTCTAAAGGTGACCTCTTTTTGGACCTCCAGGTGGGCCACAGGATCAAACCCCCCCATCCCAAGGGTTGCCTCATGCACCCAGAAAAGATGCCACATGAAGAACAGGAAACCGAATCTGGTGACCTGGCTGAGCGCCTGGGTGCAGTGAGACTGGAGAGCAGAACCCAAACTAGAAAGCTGGGCTCTTCAGTTATGGGAGCCAACAACTCTCTCCTTAGCTTAATGGATTTGGGTAGAAACAGAAAAGAACACAAGGCGAGGGGGCAGCCCCAGTGAGTGCCCTGCCTTTCCCAGATTCTGACGCTGCATTTCTGAGTCAGGAAGGCCCCTGGGGGCAAAAGAGGGGAGAGGGGATGCAGCTCTGAAGCCCCTGACAAGTCCTCTCACTGTGTCCCCATAGAGGACAACTGTCCCATTCCTACATGCCAGTGAGGGTAGGGGGAGGAGAGAACATATATCAAGGCGCTCCCGTCAGCTGATACACGAAGCCGCATGGATCGGTTTTTCCCTCAGTGCTTTTTCTCCTTTCAAAATCATGAGGTTCAACCCTGGCCAGTGTTTCTCAGTGGTTAGAACGTTGGCCTTCACACAGAATGGTCGCCAGTTCAATTCCTGGCCAAGGGCATGTATCTGGATTGCAAGTTCAATCCCCGGACCTCTTTGGGGTGCATGCAGGAGGCAACCAATAGATGTGTCTCTTTCACATCAATGTTTCTCTCTCTCTCTCCCTCCCTCCCTTCCCCCTTCCACTCACTCTTAAAAAAATATCTTCAGGTGAGGATTAACAACAAAATAAAATCATGAGGTTCCTCTCCCTAAGCAGGAGCAGGAAAGCAGGGAAGGACCTGACCTCTTTAACAAGACAAGCTACGTAGGCTAGATAGCAGGCCTGGCCCAGAGAGCGGGTGCCCTGAGCCCATTTAGCTCCTCTTTGCCATATCATGAACCAGGTGGGCCACAGGGTCAAGACCCCCACTCACCGTAGATGGGAGATAGCCCTTCCTCCATTAACACTCAGCGGGAATGAGGACAGTAAGAGAAGGCTACAAAAGCGAGAAGCCTGACTCCTGAGTGCAAGGAGTCATGGAGAAGGGGCAAGAAGAAGAAGGTGTTAGAGATGGAGGACAGCAAGGAGGGTCTGGTTCCCAGCTCTCCACTCTCCCCTCCCAGCTTGGGGTCTGGTGGGGAAGTACCCATGGTGGTGGGAAGAAGTCCCACCACCAGATAAAGTGGGAGACACTCCCACAGCAGAAAGCTTTGGTTCAGCCACCCCATGACTGAGCTCTAAAGGAGACCTCCTTTTGGACTCCCCACTCCCACTTGGGATAGGGCCTCATCCAGGTGTGCTGGGCAGAGTGGGTTAGAGGAGGCTCTATGTTCAGCTTTCCCGAGTTACCTGGGTGCCAGGAGGTATGGACTGAACCACGCAGGAGCTCAGGGAATAGGTGAGCACTAAGACTGGGGGTGGGGACTGGGGGGTGAATCGTTGGTGCTAAAGGGGTCCCAGCAAACTCCAGGGTCCACAGCACAGTCAGAGCATCGTGGGACTGATGTAGGTCAGCAAAGGATGAGAGAGGGCTGCCAGGGGATTTCGGGAGGAAGCAGGGCGAGAAAGTCGTGAAGGCATCCCAGCTGTTTGTGGGTGGGGGAGGGAAGCAGAGAAAAACAGACTAAGGGGCAAAAGGAGGAAAAAATAGAAGTCACAGGAAATGCTCCGAAAGGTGACAGGGGCAGTGGGAGGAATTGAGCAGGGTGGGCCTGCAGGGGAGGAAATAGCTTTGTCACCAGGCCTGGAAATGAGTGAGGCCAGGGTGAGAGGCTGGAGGCAGGAGCAGGCAACAAGAGCGATGGGTTCAGGAAAAGAAGAAATATGCTGAAAGAGGTCTGCAGGCAGGGTGGAGCCTGGGCAGGGCAGAAGAAAACTATAAGGCAATGACACTAAGGCTAAACCTAAGAGGGAGTGAGCCGGAGGGAGGGGGGAGTGTCGTGGCCGGAACTGTGAAGGGTGATTGATATTACACGTGGACAGCTACTGTGACATGAATAGTACATGTCCCCAGAAGAAAATGCTTATGACATGCAGCCTTCAGCAAGCACCAGGACCACTGTTATTTAGCAGCAGCTGGGCCCTTCACAGGGTCCTCCACTGCCCCCCGGGTCTACATAGGCAGTATGAGGTCTAGACCATTTCCAGCACTGCCTTTTAGTGTCTCCAATTTGCCCAG